GCTGTTGCTGCTGCTGCTGCTGCAGCAGGGCCTCGAGCAGCAGCGCTCCTGCGGCCTTCGTCCATTCGGCAGCACACAGAAGCGCCTGCTGCATGCAGCAGCCTCAATTAGAGCAGCAGCAGCAACAGTGACGGCTGCAGCAGCAGTAGCAGCAGCAACAGTTGCAGCAGCACCACCAAAACTGATCCAGTCGCAGCAGCAACAGCAGCAAATGATCAAACTGGCTGCCAGGTCTTCTCTCAGCAGCTTTTTCTTTCTTTTTTAGAGCTTCCTACCCAAGGTCTGCGGGATTTGCTGCAGCAGCAGCAGCAACGACGCAGTTTCTAGCAGCAGCAGCAGCAGCAGCAGCAACAGCAGCGACAGCAGCAGGGAACAATGGTGGCTGGAGCAGCAAGTCTGGCGCCGCTGCCGCCTCGCGCGGGCCACCTGGAAATGGCCTACGCCGCTGCCAATCGCAGCAGCAGCAGCAGCAGCAGCAGCAGCAGGGTGTCGGCGTACACGGAGCAGCTCTCTGGCTGCCTCACTGCTGCTGCTCCTGCCTTTTGCTGCAGCAGCAAAATCATTTGCTGCTCCATGGGGCCCCACATCTGCGTGTACACCACAGCTGCTGCTGAGCTGCTGTACACCTGCAAGGGCCACAAGAGCAGAGTAAACCCTAAACCCTAAACCCTAAACCCTAATGGCTGCACTGGCCCCTAGCGAGTCAACCGAACGCTGCTGCAGCAGCAGCAGTTTTGTTGCAGTGCTTGTGTCATGCTGCAGCAGCGCGTGCCAAACCCTGCCATAACTCGTGCTGCTGCTGCTGCTGCTGCTGCTGCTGCTGCTGCTGCTGCTGCTGCTGCAGGTTGTTGGGATGGTGAGCATCCCCCCGAAGCTGTACCGCGCGCTGCCGCCGATGCTGCTGTCATTTGCTGTTGATGGCAGCATTTGCTGCTGGGAGCTGCACAGCAGCCACTTCTTTTATGACAAACTCGAGCAGCAGCAGCAGCAGCAGCAGCAGCAGCAGGACACGTCTCCCAACTGCCTGCGCACAATGAAGGTGGAAGGCGCCATCTTGGGCACTGCTGCTGCATGCAGGAGCCGAGAGGTCGTGCTGCTGCTGCTGCTGCCAGCGCAGCAGCAGCAGCAGCAGGGCAGCGGAAGGAAAGGAGCAGCAGCAGCAGCAGCAGCAGACAGTTGCTGCTACGCGGTGCGCGTGCTGCCATTTGAAGCCTTTCTGCCCTCTGCAGATGGCCCCAGAGGAGCAGCAGCAGCAGCAGCGCATCAGCAGCAGCAGCAGATGCTGCTGCAGGGCGAGGACTTGTTCACCTTCAAAGAGCTCCCGTCGGCTTTTGCTGCTTCGCCCACAGCCAACACGATTGCTGTTGCATGCGGGAAGGCGCTGCTGCTGTACAAGCGCCAGCAGCAGCAGCAGCAGCAGCAGCAGCAGGTGCTGCGGCTGCTGCACGTGGACCTGCTGGTCCAGGTGTCTATACACCCGGAGGAGCTGTTCGTTGCTGCTGGCGACGATCAGGGCCGCATCGTGCTGTTCTACACAGCGCAGCAGCAGCAGCAGCAGCAGCAGCAGGTGCAGCAGCAGCAGCAGCTGCGGACCGCGGTGCTGCACTGGCACTCGCACGCAGTGAACTGCCTAGGGTTTAGCAGCGATGGTTTGCTGCTGCTGTCAGCAGCAGAAGAGGGGGTTTTGGTTTTGTGGCTGCTGCAGCAAGGGTTTAGGCGGCAGTTTTTGCCGCGGCTGGGGGCCCCCGTGCTGCAGCTGTCGCTGGCGTGGACGGAGCTGCTGGCGCAGCAGCAGCAGCAGCAGCAGCAGCAGCAGCAGATGGAGCTGCTGGCGCTTGCATGCGCAGACAACAGCGTCCGAGTCATTCAGGGGGGGACTCTTGCTGCTGCTGCTGCTGTCAAGGGGGTGGCCATGCCGCTGGCGGCCTTCAAGCTGGACCTTGCTGCTGCTGCTGCTGCTGCTGCCAAAGCAGCAGCAGCAGCAGCGCCGGCTGCTGCTGCAGCGCCGCCCGCAGACGCAGACGCAGACGCCGCACTCCAGAGGAAGCAGCAGCAGCTGCTGCTGGAGCAGCGGCTCCTCAGCAGCAGCAGCAGCAGCAGCAGACCCGTCCGCATCAGCCTCCGGCCCTTCACCGTCAACAGCAGCAGCAGCAGCAGCAGCAGGGACATGCTGCTGGTGTGCAGCAGCGAGTCGCAGCTGCAGTGTCTCGACAGCGAAAGCGGCCAGGAGGAGTTCCTGCTGCTGCTGCAGCAGCGTACATACACCTCACGGGCGGACGAGGCATTTGGCTGCACTTGGGCTTTGGAAGCAGCAGCAGCAGATTGCTGCAGCAGCAGCATTGCCGTGCTGCAGGCCAGAGACACGCAGCAGCAATCAGCAGCAGCAGCAGCAGCAGGCCTGTTCCCCGCAGACTCCAGCAGCAGCACAGTCTGCACCTGCTCCTGCTGCAGCAGCAAACCTCCCAGGGTCAGACCGGCAACCTGCTGCGCCTGCAGCAGCAGCAGCAGCAGCAACAGCTTCTGCTGCAGCAGCAGCAGCAGCGCCTGCTGCAGCTACTATAGAGGGGAGCTGCCGCTGGAGCCGCAGCAGCAGAGCAGCGGCCGCAGCTACTCCCTCTCCTTCTATGTTTGGATGGAGTCCAGCAGCAGCAGCAGCAGCAGCAGCGACGAAGAGGACGAGGACCCGCAGCAGCAGCAGCAGCAGCAGCAGCAGCAGCTGGGGTGGCGGCCTGAAGCACGCGGCAGCTTTGTTCTTTTAAATGAAGTCCAAGAGCCTCACCTTCACGACGTCACTGCCCTTCAGCCCCACCCCCTCGTAAACCCTAAACCCTAAACCCTAAACCCTAGCTCGCCCAGCCTGCGCCTTGCCCGCAGGGCCAAACCCTAGCTGGCGAAACCCTCAGCCACGTGGCCAGCTTCTCCACTTCTTGCGAGGGTTTGGGGTTTAGGGTTTAGGGTTTGGGGTTGTAGTTCAAGGTTTAGGGTTTAGGGTTTAGGGTTTAGGGTTTAGGGTTTAGGGTTTGTTTGTTCAGGAGCCCTGCAGCTTTTTGACAGCTTCAATAGACTCTCGGTTCAAGATATGGCGGCGGGTGGCAGCTCCGGGAGCAGCAGCAGCAGCAGCAAGTTCTGCTGCTGCTGCTGCTGCTGCTGCTAGCTATTCTGCTTTTGTTTGTTTGGTGGAGTTTAGCTGCTGCAGCTTGCCAGTTTACTGCTGCTGCTTCTCTGCTGATGGCTCGCTGCTTGCTGCTGCTCACGGGGGTTTTGTGTCTCTTTGGGCTGCTGCTGAGGGCCCCCGTTTGCTGCACACTCTCCCCGTTGCTGCTGCTGTCCTCAGCAGCAGCAGCAGCAGCAGCAGCAGCAACAGCGAAAGCGGCGGCGACGCAGCAGACCCAGAACCCGCAGCAGCACCAGCAGCAGCAGCAGCAGCAGCAGCAGCAAAGGATTGCATGCTGCTGGAGAGGCGCTGCGAATCTGTGTTTATAATAGAATCTTCCTTTGGCATCTTTCTGCTGCTGCAGACAGCAGCAGCTTTGCTGCTGCTGGACGCGCAGCAGCTGGCAGTTGTGTGGCAGCAAACTTTCGAAGGCAAGAATTATTTGAAAACAGTTTCAAATCTTTTTCAAAACAATTCAAAACAATTTAATAATTCACTACACTAGGGTTTAGGGTTTAGGGTTTAGGGTTTAGGGTTTGTGTGCAGGCAAGGTGGACTTGGTGGCTGTTGACCGTGCGAGGGACTTCGGCGTTCGTTTTGTTGCTGCTGTTGCTGCTGAAGGCTGCCACTGGCTGCACTCTTTCCTGCTGCAGCCCAGCAGCAGCAGCAGCAGCAGCAGCAGCAGCGAAGAGGCGCTGCCGGATTTGGTTGAAGACACTGGGGTGTACGTACACCACGAGTTCGTGCAGTGCAGGGACCTCGACGACTCCATTCTCGCCTGCTGCTTCCTGCAGCAGCAGCAGCAGCTGCTGCTGCAGCAGCAGCAGCTGCTGCTGCTGCAGCAGCAGCAGCAGCGGGAAAAGAGTGTCTTGGTTTTGCTGACTGCTGCCTTTAGCTTAGAACGCATGACATTTGTATTTGACGACAAGGGACTCTTGCCGCCCTCCTCACCTGCTGCTGCTGCTGCTGCTGCAGCAGCAGCAGC